AAATACAGACTGGGAAATGACTAGCTAGGCTGCAGTGCTGCAGAGAAGGGTCATTGTATACCATAAGCTGAATATGAGTCAACAGCATGCTCTTATTAGAAAAAAAACAGCCAACGGTATACTGGGCTGTATTAACACTTGGAAACAAGGGTAGTGATTCTTCGACTCTGTTCAGCACTGGTGAGGCCTCATGTGGAGTACTGTGTCCAGTTTTGGGTCCACGCTTCAAGGATGTGGACAGATTGGAAAGAGTCCAGGAGCAAGTGACAAAAATTATTAGAAGCCTGGAAATCCTGATTTAAGAGAAAAGACTGAAAAATGCTATGGTTATTTACTCTGGAGAAGGGAAGAATGAGTGGGGATTTGGTTACAGTCTTCAAATCTTCAAATACCTAAAGGAAAATAACAGACGATGGAGATGGGCTTTTCTTTGTGACTGTAGGGGACAGGACAATGAGTAATGGCCTCAAGCTGCAGCAGAGGAAATTAGGTTGGAAGTTAGGGGGAACTTTCTGACTATGAGGCTGGTCAAGCATTGGAACCAGCTACGTAAAGAAGTTGGGGAATCTCCATCCCTAGAAATTTTCAAGAGCAGGTTGGACAGACACTTGGCTGGGGTGGTTCAGTCAGGGATGATCCTGCCTTGAACAAGGGGCAAGACTAGATGACCCTGTGAGTCCCCTTCCAGCCTTAGATGGATGATCCTTAAGATGCTACCTTACCCTGCCTTCTTCCTGACTTGAGACTAACACAGCTGACTCTCTCTACTCATAGAAAGGATAGGTAGGCACTCTTATTCCTAGTTAAATCACTTCTCTGTGCAAGGGAGGACTGAGTTGTTAATACCCTTTCAATGTTCGGTTCATCAGCTCTGACAGATTCAGATGGTCCAAGCTGATATTTTGTTTTGTACTAGCTAAGTTCATTCCCCACAAGGTGTTAAATTAATGCTTCCTTCTGGAATTATAAGGTAGTCAAATGAACAACTGAACTGCAAGTCTGACAACAGTGGAGTGTTGGATCAGTATGAAAAACTCCCAAACACTGACACAGACATTCACAGGCTCTGTCAGCTGTTTCTACTGTGTCCTTCACTACTGTATCTAAGCACCAAGTGCAACAAATAAGTAGCACTAATAGGATGAAATATGTTCCCCTACAGAGGGACAGAACAAAGCCCATGTATCGCTAGACTCATTTAAACCCTATTTTGTGGGTGTAACTGATGCAGAACTCTTGCACTGGCCTTCTCCATTGGTGTGAATTGCTCTTATAATGGCCTAAAAGGACTTCCAGGAACTTGGTGTCTCTGAGATGCTAGACTATTTTCCTTTTTACTTGTCTCTTTCTTACTGTACTCTTACTGCCAGTGAAATCTGGTGGGAAGAGAATTAAATACTATTTTAATTTAGAATTACCGATTAGCTAAAATAAGCTATTCCTAGAGGAAGATGTTAGGGGGAAAAAAAAAAGATATTGAATATTGATCTGAACCTATTTTGCCCAGGAAGAAGAGCCACTGTCAGAGTCCTCCCACTAAGTGGATGCTCTTTTCCCAGTTGGGGTCTATCATTTCATCTAAAATCAAAAGAAAGTTGATCATAGGTTCATCTCAGGATCTTGTCTTCCCTGTCATTCTCCTGCAGATTTGGGCAACAAGGCTGCAGCTAGCTCCTTGCCCAGCTGGCACCCCAAGAGAGACTCCTCATGTCTGGAATTCCTCTCTGCTGCCCTCTCTCTTTAATTACCCCACTATAGCACCCTCAGGCTCATTTATTTGGAGAAAAATAGGTAGGTTGTTAGAACTCGGTCTGCAGACCTAGCTTTCTGTCACGTACACTTACTTGGAGGGCACTCTATATATGGGCAACCTTGGTGCAAATGTCTGGGGTACCCACATGAAAATCAGATGAATAGTCCCTTCTGATAAGGTCAAAGCCTAGCCTACCACTAGGGTGGATTTTACTCCACAAGAAAACCAGCCCTATCAGCCTGGCTTCCCTTTAGTAGCCAGCTGAGTTTATCTATGACATCCTGGTTTCCCTATCACCTCTTTCTCCTCCCATCCCCTTCCCAGACTTTCCTAGAGGTTTTTTTGAAGTGGGAGATTTGCCATAGAATACCCAGCAGTCTCCCCAGCAGGCTTCTCACACACTCAAGTTGAACCTAAGCAGGCTTTGTCATCCCTGGCTGATGTCTCTGCACATTCTTGTTTGGGCCATTAATGCTGGAGTAAATTGCCCACCATGATGAGTTCTGAAATTATAACTCTCTTCTGCCCAGCTCCTGCAGTGCCTGGCCATCCTGCAAGACCTGGCTCCCCAGAGATACTCCCCATCTACCCCCAAGTGGCAGTAGTAGATCTCTTTGCCAATAGCCAGGCAGTCTTGCGTACTGTTGGCCCAGTCTTCAACCCATACATCCATAGACTGTGCTTACCCCAGTTAAATAGAGCCCACAAGAGTCCCACTGCTCCAAGAGCCAATGGTGCTATAAATACCACCCCACCCCGCAATCCACTGAGAATACCTTAGGTTATTCCCTGGGTACCTCTCTGTAAGACATAATGGCACAGCTGGATTTGAGTTAGGACTTATGTCCTGCGGGGTCTCCTCAGTTAACCTCTGACTATCCCTGGAAAGTGTAGGAAAGAATGAATTTGCCAAACAAGTCACGGCTGCTGTTCCTATTGTGAGTCCATCAGCTCCTAGATCAGCTGTGGCTGTTGTCGCAGAGCCTGTTGCTGCTGGGCCACCATCTGTTACAGCAGCTGTTACTGGTTCTCTGCCATTCAGTCCAAGCCCATGTCGCCATCAGTGAACCAACCCATTTCATCAAACCATGAAAGGGCTGTATCCAGGCACATTACCTTTCAGGTCTCCATTTTCAGAGAGTCTATTCACTCAGTTTCCTCCCCCCCCCGTTTTCATATAGCCTACAGCAAAGATCAAATTCTTTACCACATATAACTACATCACTTCAAGACTCACTAAAAAACACCCTTAAGCCCCCATTTAGGTGCACAGCAATTTAGTCATTGCTTCTTCTAGGTGAGGAGCTAACAACAAGAGGCATTTACTGAGTACCAGCAAGTGAGTACCTAATGACAAATGAGCAGTAGTCCTGCATCAGGCCTATCTTCTCTGAGAGAAACTCTAGCAGATACCCAGTTGTAGTCCAAACTTAAGTCCCATCATAGGCCTATGGTCTTTCAGAGAGAAGGTTAGACATGCCCAATTAGTCCCAGTCACCCCTTCCTCACCAGAAATGAAGCATAATGAAAGGTCTGCCCTCCTTCCTGGTCAGCCTTTCAAGCCTGACAACTATTGCAGGAGTACATGACAGAAGTAAGAGAAGCCAGAGCACCTTTGTGACCCCTTACTGCAGAGCACAGGTTTGCATATCCCATCCCACAGCAAACACACAGACCTCTCCTCCTGCCTCCTACACATGGAACTTCTGGGCATGTTTGAGGTCTTTTATCCTTCCAGTTTCATTTGTCTCTTTGCTGATCCTCTGGTTTCATTCAGCTGTGTCCACACCTGAAGACTGCAGAAGTTCTTTGATTTTCCAGTCCGCTTCTGTACTTCTTTAAAGAATACAACTAATGTAACAAAACCTCCCTGTCCAAGAGCTACCATAAGAGAAATATTTTGACTAGAACGGAAAGTGCATTCAGTCCATTCAGCAGCTTGTTTCTACTGTCCTGGGCCTGAGGACATACCAATGTTCTTGTGCCCCTCTTCTTTTGCATGGTTATCCATGTTTTCAATTCATCCCACCTCACCCTGATTAATTGTACAAGTTTACATTTTGTTAATCTGTGCAACAAACACAATAGCCAATGCATAAGCTAGGTTTTATTACCATAGAATAGCCTACGTAGCGCAGAGTAATAAAGAGACACTTCAGGGCCAAGGGTTGTTTAAAGTGAAACCTAGGAGGGAGACCAGGAACCCTCTTCTCCTGAGCTTTTCCTTGCCACGTGCACCCACCCACCCACCCACCCACCGGCCAGCCA